CGCTAGCACTAACGGCTTGTAAGTGTGCCAACATCTGACCTGTCCCATTGTGTCGTGTTTTGCAGTTGCTGGATGTGTGCGACTCGGTGAAGGATGATGCCCTGAGGGTGATCCCCGCCTTTAACATTCCACACACCAACCTCCACGCACCAATCGCCGGAATCTCCAACCCGCGGTTCGCGTGGGCTTTCTACCCTGCACCGCTGCCAGCCGCTGCCACGGGAAGGGGCGCGCTCCCAGCGGCCCAAGCTGGGAGCCAAGCTCTAACGGGTGTGGCGGGAAGTGTGGTGACCCGCCTGCAGCTGCCACGACGCTCGCTCCACTGACGCCCGGAGCTGTGGCCGAGGCCGGGGGGATTTTGGTGGCAAAGCGAAGGTCCCGCCGAGGCTGGCGAGGCGCGCCGCTGGCTGCTAGAAAACAGATCAAGACGGTCGCCTAGTGCGCTGGATCTCTGTGCCCTTTCCCTGAAACCCAGCCTGGCCTGACTGCAACCTCTCCCAACTTCTGTGCCCGATCCCCTAGACAATCAGGGTGGGCTCCCCGCTGCGAGCGCGCCCCACAGCCGGGTGCCGCCAAAGGTCTCCTGCTGTTAGCGGTGACTCACATTCCCAGTGATTTAGAAAAACTGTGGTGCCGAGTGAAAGAAAAAAAAAAAAGCAAACACTCTTAGACAAAAGAAAAAAGCTCCACTCTTTCCGTGAGCGGGCAAAAAGGTTCGGTTCAGCAAGTGATGCTTTTTCAGTGAATCAGACGCTCTGGGGCTCTGTAAGGAAACGCACGGACTGGGAGAAGGAAATGAGAGCCTAGAGTTTTGCTCTCGGCAAAACAAGAACTCGGCATGTCCTTCCAGGCCGGCGGTTTCCGTACAGCAAGACAAGGCGCGGAAAACTTTTTTACCATCTGACGCTGTAATCTGTCCTTTAGAAGAGCATAGGTGAAAAGTTTAATAAAGAAATTAAGCGATGTGGAAGTCATTCTCGCTGCTTGCAGACGGCGGGGAGGCGGGCCTGGGCAATTTCGGAACTAGGCGAGACGACGGCACCGCCTGTGGTCCCGGGCAAGGGCCATGGATTTCCCATTTCTCAGATCCCAGCTGCCCGACTTCATTCTTGTTTCTTTCAGTCCAAATCATCCTCCCTTCTCCCTCCCTCCACGTCTCTTGGCACCGCTCTGCCCGCGTCCACTGCGAGGGAGGTGACCTAAAACCCATGGGCCCGTCTCTGCGTTCTCTGCGCTCTGGCCCAGTTCCGGGAGGACCTCCCGACGCCGCGGGAGAAGGCTGCAAGGGCTCGAGGCCCCTGACGCGGCCTGGGTCTCGGGGGACATATGAACCCGCCACCTCTGGCCAGCTTCCTTTTAGTGCCCCAAATAGGAGCACTTAGCCCGTTGCTTCCCCCCGACTCTCTTGTTTTTCAAAGTGTTCACAGGGTCGCGAGAGCGAGCGACGCGGGGGCGGCGAAGCTGCAAGGCTGCAAGGCTGCACAGGAACAGACGACAAGAAATAGGGCTTTCTTCTGCGTGGTTCTTTTCCGGTCCCTGTCTGAGTCGCCCGACCCCGCGGGGAGCGCGGAGCATTGCGGCGTTCGGCTACCTTCAGGCTCTCAGCCCAAACGGCAGGTCGCGTTGCTTCTCCCCAGTTGCGACGCCGGACGGCCGAAGAGCAAAGTTCGCCCGCAGTAGGAACTTCGAGGCCCCGTTAGGACAGATCTCTGGCCTCCGAGTCTACTTAGCCGTGTCCACGCCCGTGCCTTTTCCCTCTTGCAGCGAAATAACTGGGCGGGGCCCGACGCGCGTCCTCCAGCGACTCCGGGAACGCAAGGCCTCCTGCACCTCGCTCAGAATTCACCCGAAAATGCGCTGAGACTTTGGCCTGAGGTTGTGCTGTGTCCCACTGACGTTACAGAAGCGCTTATGAATTTAAAAACTGATCCAAGTGGCCGGACGGCAGGACAGCACCTCCTCACTTGCTGCTCTACGACAAGGCCCCTTCCTTCTCCCCGCTGGCTGCGCTGGTGGGTAGGGTGGTCCCTTTACAGAGTTTTCTTAATCCATCTAGCCTGACCTCACCTTCGGGATGCTCCATTTCCCGATCCACCTCCCACATCCCCGCTGCCGTGATCTAGAAGCCAGGGCTGGGGAACTGAGGCGCGCGAGGAGCAGACAGGAGGGCCGGGGTTGGGGGCACCAGCCACGCGTTGGGAGAGCAGAGCCGGGTGCAGACTCTGAGGACTGGAGAGGCGGCGTGGAGTTTGGTCTCCTGGGAGGCAGAGAGTGTGGTGCCGCCGACTCCAAGGAGGAAAGGGAATGGGTGGGGGGGGGACCGCGCGGGGAGGAGGAACAGGGTATTTTGCGCTCCCACACCGCGTCCCGAACTCAGCCGTTCTGCCTTCACTGGCCTCATCCCGTCCAGGGACAGCTCCTACGAGGTAATCTGCGAGCCCAGCAAATCTTGGGGGTCCTAGCCGAATGTAGTGCGCAACGTTCTCTCACTTGGAGGCCGCCACTCACCTCGGTTTTTTGTGTTTGTTTTTCCTAAAAGGATTTTTTTTTTCTGAGTGCCTTTTTCATTTCCCTATTTTACCTGCTCTGCTGACATGCCTCCCGCCCTCACCCAGGAGGCGGTGAAGACGCCCACTGGGACCGCGCCTGGCCATTTTCTGGGCACGTCCTGCCCCCACGGGCTCTGTCTCTTAGGGAGACTGGGCGCGGAAGAAAAGCTGGAGAGCCCCTGCGGGGTGGCAGGAGGGGCGTGCCTGAGTCCCGCGAGAGGCTGGGGCGAGGAAGATGCGCAGCCAGCTGATCCGCGTCCCGCCCGGCGCCAGGGACCCTCAGAGCGAGGCGAGCTCAAAGACCTCGCCCCGCGCCTTCCCGACGACCGACCCAGTCCCCGCGCCTGCCCCAGAGCGGCTTAGAAACTCAGGGCACAGTGAGGGCGCAGGGCACCTCCTGAGACTTTCCACAGCGGGCCCGGCCAGCGGAGGCTGTGACCGGAGCGCCCCCTCTGTGCCGCGCACGCCGCGGCCGCCACAGGGTTGGGGGAGGTGAGCGGGAGGCCAGGGTACACTTCGGGGTGGGGGATGGGCGCGCACATGGCCGCCAGCAGGCAGAGTCACTCCGGTAAACACGCCAGGGACGGCGGCGCGCGCGGGAGGCAACCCAACGGGGCCACCCCCGCCTTTACCTGTCCGAGCCTGCACGCGCCGGCGGCCTAGGCGCCGAGGAGGCGGAGCTTGCCAGCCCGCGCGCCGGGGCGGGACCTAGCGGGGGCGGGGTCCGCAGTGATTGGGCGCAGGAGCGGGGCCGCCAGCCAGAGCTGGGCTGCAAGGCAGCGCAGGTTTCACTTCGCTCTGCGCCGCCGCCGGGTCTGCAGTTTGTTGGAGGTCTGCGTCCAGCCCGCTGCCGCCGCCGCCGCCGCCGCCACTGCCACCAGTCGATTCTTGCAGTCACCCTGCGAACCCTGCCACACTGCGATCGCATCATCGGGGTATTCGGTTTGCTGAGTTCCCGCCGCCACCGCCTCGGCGCCCTTCCCTTGGCCCTTGTTCCCCCAAATGTCTAACTCTGACTCTCGGACTGAAAAACGCAAGGTAAATACCTCCAAATCCCGCGGTGCGGGCCTGGCACCGATGTAAGACTAGCGCTGGAGCCCGAACGCCACCACCTACTGCCCGCTTCCCGTGCACGTGCGAGCGGAGACGCTAGCATCGGCCCCGCTTGTCGCCGGCGGGAGGTGGGGATCCATGTGGGTCGGGTTCCCTCGGGCAGGTTCTCTTTAGAGAAAGGTCGTTCGCGCGGAGCCTGCGGGCTCTTGGCCAAGTGGCTTGGGCCGGGATGCTTCGCGCGGGCCTGGTGAAGGGTCGCACGTCCGGGGAGGAGGAGAGGCAGCGCGTGCTTTTCGGCACCGGCCTGGGAGCTGAGGACCGGCTCGTAGTACCCGGCTTTGCGCCCAGCCGGAAAGTCTCGCCGCCGGCTCCGGCGCCCCAACGGTAGCGGCCGCGCAGTGAGAGCGTGTTTCGCGTCTTGGTTTTTTTGGGCGCGCGGGCCTGTTGCGGAGGATTTGCGGAACTGCGGTGGTGATTTAACTGACGAGACAGGGCTTTTCCTTTTACTCATTCAGGCCAAGGTTTCGGGGCCGCTGTTGCATTCGCTTTCTCAAGCGTACCTGGGGCCCCTGCTTGCTCTGCAGGAGTCTTGCGGACAGTGCCATCCACACGATCCACTGACAGCGAGAGATCTAGGTCCTCCCCTGACCACCTGGACCGCGCAGGGGACTAGCCGCGGCCAGCAGAACCTGCGCGGTCCCTGGGGCCAGGCTATCTTAGTGGCTCACGCGTGCCCGAGCACACCCGACCCGGTTCGTGGTGCAGGCTAGCGGCGCCGTGCCCTCTGGGACCTGTTGCCCCAGGGTTGGCGCTGCTGGTGGAGGGCCCGACGGACGCCAGGGCGGAGGATGTGGATTTACTCGATGGTCGCGGACGTGCGCGTCCGTGGCCAGGGGTGGCTCTTCGGCTTTGACTCGTGTCTGCGGCGCACCAGGAGAAAGAGAGAGGAAGTTGTTGGAGGAGAATAATTGCCGCAGTCAGGGCGGTGACGGCCGTTGGGGTCTGCCCCCGACGGGCCAAAACAAGGACAAGTGGCGAGAAGGACTGGGCCTGGCGATGGCCCTGCGGGTCCGGGCGCGGCGCAAGCCCTGCTTTGTCTTCAGGTGACTGGCTGTCCAGTGCGGCGTGAGCTGCTAAGGCTTGTGTCTGGAAGGAGCACAGGGATGGGCAAAGTAGTCGGGCCAGCCGATCCCCAAATCCTCCGGCGAAGCTGCCGCCGCCCCCACGACCACTGCCCAAGCTGCGCTCGGAGGCGAGTTTGTCAACAATCGCCTCGCCTTTGGCGGCCTGACCCGTAGGCGCCGCCCCCACCGCGGCTGCCGATTGGCTGCGGCGCGGAGCGACCGCGCGCGGACCAATTGGGAGCGCGGGCACCCGGCGCCAGCGGCGCGGGGAGGTCGGCGGTGCCGGCGGCGGCGGCGGGCGCAGAGCGCAAGGGGAGGAGCGGGAGGAGGCGGAGGATGTTCCCGGCGGCTGCGGCCGGGGCAGCGCGGGCCAGAGGCGCGGCGTGCGGAGCCCTCGGCTGCCCGGCGGAGTGCGGCGGCGGGCTGGCGGGTAGGCGCGGGCTGTGCGCTGCGCCGGGTACTCTGAACCCAAGTCCAGAGCTTTGTTTCCTGCGCTGCCTTCGTGGTGACGGTCAGGGGGCGCCGGGTCGGCGAAGAGCGCGGGCCAGACGCCCCGGGGCCCGGGCGCGGGCCCGGACGCTACGCTCTGAAGGGAAGGCGCGGACGTGAGTTTCGGCTTGATTGCCTTCTGAGGGGAGGGTCTGTGGGATGAAGGGGGTGCGCACCGGTGTCGCCTAGGCTGCGGACCTAGTCGCCTAGGCTGCGGACCTAGTTGGAGACTTTGCAGGGGTTGGCTTCTTCCCCCCCCCCCCAATTAGGGGTGTGCACCTAACGGTGCCGCTGCACCTCAGAGAAGTTCTGTCTGGTTCCGTGCGGCGCGCGGTACGGGAGCGGGAGGGAGGAACCGCGGGAGGGAGGGACCACGGGCGGAGAGAGCGCCAGAGCCGGGCCGAGCCGCGCTGGAGTTACAAACTCTATTGTGACGCACTTACTACGACTGACGGCCGCTGCCAAACCTTCCCCAGACTTGCTGCCCTCAGCATTTTCGGCAAACAATGGGGCCGGAGCAGGGAACGCGGCCAGCCGCCTGCAATCGCTGCGTCTGCGCCCGCTCCTATGCTCCAGCGTCCTACCTAACGCCGGGAAGTCAGAGCCGCTGGGAGTTTCTGACTTATCCAAGTCCGTCCTGGGCAAAGAGCACACGCGAATAGACTTCAGATTAACTACTTTTCTGGAAACGCGCGTGTGTGTGCACCAGTTCCGCAAGCTGTTGACATTGTTACTGTATTTTGTTTGGGGGTACGAAGTTTAATCCCACCTTCTACCAAAAAAAAATTATACCTTTATTATTTTAGGTGCAATTTTTTTATTTGGGAGATTGTCGGAAAAGTATAGAACATAAAGTATTTGGGATTAACCCTAAGAGCTGATTTATTCTTTTTTTTTTTTTTGCTTAAAATAATCTTAGTTTTTGTTTTACTTGCAGAAAAAAAGACCAAATGGCAAAGCAACCTTCTGATGTAAGTTCTGAGTGTGACCGAGAAGGTAGACAATTGCAGCCTGCGGAGAGGCCTCCCCAGCTCAGACCTGGGGCCCCTACCTCCCTACAGACAGAGCCACAAGGTAATCCCGAAGGCAATCACGGAGGTGAAGGGGACAGCTGCCCCCACGGCAGCCCTCAGGGCCCGCTGGCCCCACCGGCCAGCCCTGGCCCTTTTGCTACCAGATCCCCGCTTTTCATCTTTATGAGAAGATCCTCCCTGCTGTCTCGATCCTCCAGTGGGTATTTCTCTTTTGACACAGACAGGAGCCCAGCACCCATGAGTTGTGACAAATCAACACAAACCCCAAGTCCTCCTTGCCAGGCCTTCAACCACTATCTCAGTGCAATGGGTAAGCAATGCCTGGGTAAGAGGCAGTTGACGTGTGGATGGTTGAATCTGCTTGAAGACTGTGTGTGGCATTTAAAATCCCCTTTTAAAATCCCATAACTGATTTATTCTACGTTTTGATGGGAATGGAGGATGTGTCAAACTATCAACCAACTTTTTTTGAGACGCGTCTTGCTCTGTCGCCCAGGGTGGAGTGCAGTGGTGCAATCTCAGCTCACTGCAACCTCCACCTCCCGGGTTCAAGCAATTCTCTTGCCTCAGTCTCCCGAGTAGCTGGGACTACAGGCGCGTGCCACCACGCCCAGCTAATTTTTTGTATTTTTGGTAGAGATGGGGTTTCACTGTGTTAGCCATGATAGTCTCAATCTCCTGACCTTGTAATCTGTCTGTCTCAGCCTCCCAAAGTGCTGGGATTACAGACGTGAGCCACCACGCATGGCCCAAGCCAACATTTTTACAAAGTTACTAACTTTTGTGGCAGTGATGAGTTGAGGTCCAAACATTAGCTCTCAGGTCTGCCTTCATTAAGCAAAAGTGTGTTACCACGACATGTTTTAACCACCAGGCTTTACATAGTAATGACATTTTGCTTGAAAGGGAACTCATCGTTTACAGAAAATAGCTTAATAATCAAAAGTGTAAAAAAAGATGACAATCATTTTTGAAAACGGCACTTTTAAAAAAATGAACGAGTTCGTGAAAGCAGTACCAACATAGAACCATGAAAATGGTTTGTTTTCTGCTTAAATTCCTCTGTACACTTCTTGCTCAGAGGGTTTGGACATAGTGCTAATCAGATTAGGTTGTCGGTTTTTATTTCAGGGATTAAAGGCAGTTGTAGGGTTTGAACCAAGAGTGGCTAACATAAATACCACAGAGGCCCGCAGCAAAATCATGGAAGGAACTGAGCTGGTGGAGACTGGTGAATTGGAGAGTATTTGCCCCTTCTATGTTTGGGCCACGCCTAATTGTGGCTGTGAGGACATGTGGTCTCAGGGTGGGTTTTTCCTATATTGCAAGATAACCCAGGAATGCAAAATTGATGCCAGATACCCTGTTTCAACATTGACAGCTAATTTAGATTTTGAAAACATTGTACAAGCTGAAAAGAAACATCTGCAGACTTGATGTGGCCCTTGAACCTCCAGCATGTGACTTTGGGTGCATACTTTGGGTAACCCTCGTGAGGGTCTGAGTCTGTGTTGATCAACTTGCTGTTGCCCACCAATGGAAAAGGTTCATGTCTTGATCAGGAGTCAATCAGATTGACCATTCGTCGAGATTAGCTTGCCATTCATGAGCAAGATAGAAGTAAGTCGGTAAAGTTACCAATTAGGAAATCCAGTACAGAGTCTATTATTGTACTTCATGATGAAGGCTAACTTAACAAACCCATCAAAGTAGACACTGGAACAAAATGACATTTCTAAATACCATCTAGCTCTGTTTTCATAGGCTTCAGTGAGGTAAATCGGGCAGGTGTTTGCCCACGTTACAGAATTGGAAAGAACCTCAGAGTGGTGGTCACTTGTCAGAGGTTGGGCACACCTGTGAAGTGGTGGGCAGAAATGACAAACATCCCAGCAGCTACACATGTTGGCTGCACATCTCCTGCCAAATGCCAGGAGGTACTTTTTTAGGGCCCCTCCTTAGGGAAAGGAGCTGGAAGTTTTATTATTGCTGTTACTACTACTCGTGAACTCATTTCGGCCTTAGAAGTTCTTGGTGCTTATAGTTTTTGTTCTACTCATGAAAATGCTCCCCCATATATGTGATCATTCTTGCTTACTATAACATCCTTGCTTACTAAATGAGTTAAAAAGGGCTTTATGGTGTGTATCCTGAAACACATGTACTTTAAAGACCTTCTGGAAGCTGTTAGCTTTTCACACTTTCACAACAAAAGCTTCACACTTGTGGTTATTGAGCTGTTTTCTCTAACCAGGTCCCTTTCAAGCAAAATGCATACATTGGTCTCTGTAGATGGTAGGTTAATGCATGGAAATAGTTTCTCCTTCCCTGGAACTGGGAATAGTGGGTGAGATAGTATATTTTTTAATGTAAAGACAGGCATGAATGCTTTTTTTGGTGATAAATACTATTTTACAAGCTAATTATAAATTAAACACTGTTACTTGAGATGAAAGATATAGGGCTTCAAAGATCATAATCTAAATAATTATGCACAGTTAATGGTTATACCTGTGACGTAAAGTAGTGGATCCTGAGGTATAATTTTATAGTACTAGCTACATTTCAGTAGATGGTGTGATGAAGAGTTTAATGCATAGGATTAACTGAGAAGTTACAAGGAGTTTGGTTTAAAGTTAATGTCCCGAGGTAAATTTTCAGTGTTAAGTTTTTGGGAGATTTGTTTTGGAAGAGGATGAGTTGTGGTTGGGGGAGGAAAGAACTTAGCCAGATGTGAGTTTCTTAAATTGAAGCATAAAATTTACAATTTGTGTAGTCCATAATTTTCTGTGGACATTCTACAGTCTTAGTTCATGCCTGAAGACCACTGAAATAATGCTGAGTTCATAAGTGGTTCACTTGACATTGTTTAGTATTCTTTACTCAACCCTATCCATGAAGTTCTTCAATGAAGCTTTTGATAATTTATTGCAAAATACATTTTTCACAAAGAAGTCATTATGATTGGTTTGAACTAGTGGAACACAAATGTGAGGTTAAAAAGAGGTTCGCCTTAGCCAGGGGCTCCTTTAGCCACAAAGCAGTTTTTTGCTCAGCAACTTGGGTTAGACATCAGTGTGTCTTGAAGTTTTGTTTTTGCATCTTTGTTCTAATGAGAAAGTAAAGTCCTGTGAGGAATGTATAGTAATTACGTGTATTAATACTATTTTCATATTTTCCTTTATGTCTCTGATTTTTCTGAAGACAGATTCAAGGAATCAAGGAATATATTTATCTGTTGGGCAACAGATGCAGTTTTTTCACTTTTCCTCAATTTTAGTCTCCTTACACTCTGGGAGGATTAACTTGAGAAATGATACCTTAGTGAATAACTGATTATTTTTATCAAAATCACTCACATGTGTCGGTTTACTGAGTGCCTTTTTGGATGAGTGTTTTATGCCATATGTGTTTTTAATGCAAATTAAAGCGTAGTCAGTACACTAAAGTGTAGTCGGTACGATTGAAAATAAGAGTTGAGAAAAGTTAGGATATGGAGGAATGCTCCCTAGTGTCATGTTAGTAAATGTCTTCAATTTTATACTTGTTCCCTGGCACATCGGAATTCACAGATGGGAGTTAATGGCTTTCTTCTTCTTTTTTTTTTCCTCAGTGTCTTGTGGGTACTTCTCTTATAGCTGGTAATTGTCTGACCCCTCCTTTAGTTTGTGAGCTCCCTGGGCGGGGAATAATGTCCTGCAGATGCTAGCGAGTGCCTGACAAAGAGGAGAAGCCCAGGAGATGTTGCGGGTCAATCCACCTCTGCCTGTTAGCCTTTCCAAGGAGCAGTTTTTAACTGAGGACAAATAGTTTAAGAAGGCAGGTAGCAAGAAAAAGATCCTGACCTCTGCTCCGCCAAAATGTTTTTAATTACCTGGATCTAGCTGTAAGGATTGCCACATAGTGGTGATAGCTAAGGTCTAGCTCAGCACTGCACAGCAGGGAAGCCACGCACAGCATTAAGCACTTGACGTAGGACTAGTCTGAACTGAGTTGTGCTGTCAGTGTTGATACACACTGGATTTTGAGGAAATAAAAAAGAATGCAAAATAGTTTAATTGTTTTCATATGGGTTACATGTTGAAATGGTATTTTAAATATATAGGTTAAATGTAATATAAACTTGTATTGCAGTTAAAAAAACACAAAGCATAAAATTTACCACCTAAACGATTTATTTCTAAGTGTACTGTTCAGTAGTGTTCAGGTCACTCATTTTGTTGTGCAGCCAATCTCCAAAACTTCTTCACCTTGTAAAACAGAAACTCCGTACTCATTAAATAACTCCCCATTTCTCCCTCCCCCCAGCTTCTGACAACCATCATTCTATTTTCTGTTATCAATTTGACAACTTCAGGTACCTTATATCAGTGAAATTTATACAGTATTTGCCCTTCTATAACGGGCTTATTTCACTTAGCATAATGTCATCAGGGTTTATTTATCTTGCAGAATGTCAGAATTTCCTTCCTTTTTAAGGCTGAAGGTTGTTCCAGTGTGTGTATATCACATATTTCGTGGATCCATTCAGTTATCAGGGACACTTGGGTTGCTTCCGCTTTTTGGCTGTTGTGAGTAGTGCTGCTATGAACATAGGTATGCAAATATCTTTTGGGGGTTCTGCTTTGAAGTTTTTTGGATATATACTTGGAAGTGGAATTGCCAGATCATATGGTAATTCTATTTTTAATTTTTGGGGGAACCATCATGCTGTTCTCCATAGAGGCTGTGCCATTTTACATTCCCACCAACAGGGCACAAGGGTTCCAATGTCTCCACATACTCACCAACACTTTTTTTTTTTATTTTAACAGTAGTCATCCTAGAGGATATAGGTGATAGTTCATTGTGGTTTGGATTTATATTTACTGGCTTAGATTTGTATGGCCACCACCACAGTCAAGATACAGAACAACTCAACCACAAGGATTTCTCATGATACCTTTTTATAAGCACAGCCACCTCTCTCCCTCTTCCTTGAGCATCATGCTCATCGGTGATTAAATAAAATGTATTTTAATATTGACTTTCTCTGTTTCTTTCTACCTTTTTAAACGTGGCTACTAGAAAAATGCAAAATTCGATCTGTGGCTGGTGTTCTGTATCATCTCAACAGGCTGGCCTCACAGATAGAGGAGCTGGAGTGTGCAGTGCTGCTCTAGCAAGCAAGACTTGACTTTTCCCACTCAGGGCACATCACTTCCAAGAAGCTTACTCCTTGGGTTATTTGGTTGACCTAAGAGAATGAAAGTGATCAGCCGAATCTTGTGAGCATTTTAAACATTAAATGAGCATTGTAAACAGCGGCAT